CTTGAAACAAATTTAAATCAATCATAAGGAATAATAATTTTGATACATTACATGAAAAAATTATTTTTAACATATTAATAATTAATATAAGGGTAATAATTTTTAAAAGATTGAAAGTTTTTGATCTCCTTTCATTTTAGAATCCTAAAATATGTTTTTTTACAAATAAATATTATTATTTGTATAATATTATTATTTATTATAAAAAATTATTATTTGTACAATAATTAACTACACATGTTGATAGATATTTTATGCTTTAAATTATAGTTATATTAATTTAAAATAAGTTCATTTCACTGGAAAAAAGAGAATAATCACAAATTTTCCAATCAATAATGTTTTAAACTACTAAAATGATATATTATTACATTATGATTTAATTATGGAATAATAATTTTGTTAATTTTTGTAATTATTTATATTTATAGTATATATTTCAACTTTAGGAATAATTTTGCATCAAAAATGTGTTTTTGTCCTCTCATCTTGGAAAATATAGGTTTTTGCCACATTTTGCCAATTTGCTTGACAAAAATCTGTTTATGCCAGGACGGTTTTTACCGGTATTTACCATGGTTTTTTCCACCTGCGGCAAAATCTTGCCAACCCTGATACTATCTAATGGTTACTAACTAACTTTTAAAAAAAAAACACATTTCCTTAATCAACAAGCTTTAATAAACAGCTTACAATTATATAGTAAATAATAAGATATTTTTTGGATTTAGATGAATGTTTAGATTAAGTCACAAAAGCTGGATATGGTTATGCAGTGAAAATTCAAAAAATAAAATTTTCACAATCATGAGTCACATTCAATCAGCACTAAAAACTACAATATAACAGAATGATATAAATCAGTGTTTTTCAACCTGATTTACTCAATGGGCCATTAAAATTTTTCAATGCTTTATCGCAGACTGGTAAGGTTAGTAATTTGGACAAGTGGCATTATTTTTACATATACAAAATTGTGGAACATAAAATTTTTTGACTAGTTTATTTTGAATTGTTTACACTCTCTTTAAATCAAAAACATGAAAAATTACAATGAAAACTTAAATTTGTTTAAATATAAATAAACTCATATTACTTCTTATTATAAATAATCTGCGGACCGTCCACGACCTGCGGTCCAGAAACGATATAAAAGACAGTTTAAAGGATTATACACACAGCTTCTGATAAATTCAAATTTTGAATAGAGATACTTAAATTATAATACACACAAAATTAAAAATTGCTTCACTTTAATTACTTTATCGATTAATTACAAGCACTCGCCGTCAAAGAAACACATAGGTGAGCAACTGCTAGCCTAATAAAACAAGACATGTATAATGCCTAACATCATTTATGTTAAAAATTAAAAAATTGCTAACTGCCAACTTTTATATTTTTAAGAATGATGTTTTTGAGTGTTAGCGAATTCTATATTTTATAATATTAATTTGAATTGATTTAAAATTATTTTAAAAACCAAAACATAAAATGGCTTAAAAAAGTCATTATTTTTAATACGAGATTACGATATGTGAATTTCAAATTGAAGCAGTTGCTTTCTGATTTGTTTTATTGTTGCCAATTTTATCATGAATTCAAGTGAAGATTCTATCATTTTATTAGTATTTATAACTTGCAAATTCCATGAGGCTTTTAAAATTCCAATACATTAATTAAGATATTACAATTCATTGTAATTCGGGTATTAATATCCTAATCCCTTTTTCCACCTCCACCAGAATCTTTCCTAAATTGCACAGTCCCACAGCGATCAAAGATTTCTACATTCGTTTAGCAACCGTGGTAGCATTTTATGTTACATTCTAGTTTAACAGAGCTGTAATGGAGCAAATTTTGATGCAAGCAAAGCATCGCTAAGTTGATGATATTTCAACTGTTTGGTGATACGTTTCTGTTTAAAAAAAGTGGGTATAATGGATGAAATAATTTCAATTAAGAAAATTAGTAAATAATTTAAATAAGTGAAATTAAAAAAATTATCCAAGAAAAAAATTTCCAGCTTTTCTTTAACATTCCCTGATTTTTCCAGGCTTTTATCCAAATTTCCCTGATATTTCCAGGTTTTTTCCAGTTTAAAAAAAATTCCCTGATAATTCCAGGTTTTCCAGAGGATTGCCACCCTGCAATTTCCATGAGGTTTTTTAAATTCTAATACATTAATTAAGATATTAAAACTCATGAATTCTTTTTGATTCGAGCATTTAATTTATCACTTTTTGACATGTTTAATTTGTGCCAATTTTACCGTAAATCTAAATGATTTTTAAAAGGCAGTTATTGTTACACTTTTCCATGTAATTTAGAACATTTTACAATTAAATGTGATTTTACTACAATATTATTACAACACACAAGTTTTAAATTGCACATAATTTAAAACTTGTGCATTTAATTTTTGCAGATTTATCAGCAGTTTTTACAATACATCACCTCAGGTTTTTAAAAAATTTGATTTTTATTATGACATGCGAACTTTAAATCATGTACTTAAATAACTACTTATAAACACACTTTATTTGTCTTTATTTCTTCATAAACAGAAGTGATTGTTTTTGTTGCAATTATTCTGATGCTCCTTTGCATGAAATTGATGATCCTGCTATTTTAATTATGTTATTATGACATACAAGTTATTAATTGTGCATATTTCATCATAAATGTAAATTATTTCCTCCTTGTTTTCTCGATAGTTAGCGTTATGCATTTGCACCTGGTATTTAGAAATCAAATATTTTATTACAACTAGTGGGCTGCGCCCCCTGCTCGCTAACGTTCACCAACCCCCGAAAATTGCTACGCAAACTTATATGGTTTGCTTCGCTCGCTTCTAACTTAGGTACACTGCAAATGCACAAAATTCTAAGAATTCAAAACAATCATTCAAATCTATATAACTTTTTTTTTTTTTTTAAAATTTCATCTTTCTAGTAAATACTAAGTCATTAAAATAAATTTGAATTCAAATAAATGACATGTAATTCGTTAAACCTATTAGAAATGTGCTATAGTATAAAATCTTAAGATAAAATTTCTAAAAATATCTCTTTAAAAAGGTTCAAATTTTGACTATGATTAAGTCTATTAAAAATTGAAGTAAGTGAATTGCAATGGAAAAACCTGCATAAACAAATAAATTAGTGATATAAATCAAAAATCGTCAAATAAATTCGTAATATATAAATTTGTGAAAAAAAGCACTTTCGACAAAATACTAAAATAGAGATCTGTCGACAAAGACAACTCACTTCTGCCTAGCTTATGCTCTCTCTGGTTATTTCAGTTTCCGTTTTTAAAAGCGCTATATGTTGAGCCTTCTCAGCTAGATTTGGCATGTGACATTTTTAGCGGCAATAATTGGTCGATTTTCTAGCGTTGCCATTCGGGGAGTTGTAATGAGTCTTTTTTTTGTCGCCGTGTAAGAGAAATATATATATAGATGCTATTGCAACAATAAAAAAATGAGAAAAGTGGAGAGAAACTCAAATTTCTACACTGCTTACTGTTTGTAATTTAATTTTAAAATTCCGTAGCCTGTAATCCTGTTTAAAATTCATAAAAAATCTCAAGAATTCAAGAAACAGTATAATACGAAATAAATATAGAATCTTATTCTGTACTATAATGTTTTTGTTTTAATTTTTAATTAAACCTTTTAAATTTTATATAATTTAATTTGATTTTCTATTACTTATTAAAATACATATATATTATTTATTTTTTTAACTGTTCTTTCATGAGCATTATTTTTTTTCTTGTTAGAATATATCTTTCTATTTTCCAATATTTATATACAGATATATAATTTTTTTCTTTTTCTTTTTTTAATAAATCAACTATTGACAAAAAGGAAGAAAAAAATTAAAAATCATGTTTTCTACTCTTTTAGGATAAATTCTAATGATTAAAAGCATTTAATTTTTTACAAATACACTACCAAGTTTACTCACAAAAAATTAAGTTCTTAGAATACTAATGTTTACATAAAAATTATCATATTTGTCACTAACATGACTAAATATACATACGACCTTTCGTTAGTTAACCTGCTATACAAGTGACTCTTTACTGAAAAAGGTTGTGCACCCTTTGTCTTTCAGTTAGAGTTTGAATTACTGATGCAATTTCTACAAACGATAACAATAAAACAAATAATAATTTAATAACTGTATTGATTTCATTGCTTTTTTAAAAAACTTTAGCTACTCACGCCTTCGATGTACATCTTGCCAGTAACCCACTTTGCGAGCTATATATTCATCAAGAAACTGCAGCAACATATCACATGATTCTTCATCATCTGAATTCTCCAATAAGTCAACCTAAGGAAAAAAGATACATTTTCTAAGTCTCATTAAACAATGCTAACCTACATTGGAATAAAAAAAAGTTTTCTGGAGCAGAAACAAAAAGACACTTTAAAACTGTTAATTAATGTGCTTTTAGTTATGAAAACTGGTTCACCTTAAGTAAAAAAAGAAAAGCATTCAAACAACAATTTATAGTGGCTTCACAGTTTTGCACCTACAGTATTGTTCATGAACAATAGGATTCCTTAAAGACAAAACACCACACAATTAAAGACATTTTTAGGAGTAGAAAGTAATACAGGGTGGCCACTCAAATCAGATTTCAAATTTCCCTGATTTTTCCAGGTTTTCCAGATAAAAATCTTAAAATTTCCAGGTTTTCGTTTCTTTTTTCTTATTAAGTGTAGGATGTGTACAAGAAAAGTGTCTATATTATAAAATATTTTATTCAAAATGTTATTTTGACAATTTGGCAAGATTTTTTATTTATTTTTCAAATGTTTTGGTACAAAATATTGACCAACAAAAGAGTAAAATTAAATATTAATATATAGTTGGTTCTTAAAAAAACCATTTTTTAAAAATATGTTATAAAAGGTTAAAATGAAATAGAAAAAATTAGCATTAATGCAACAATTGTAACGATTTATCGACAAACATTGCTGTCAGCGATGGTAAAAAAATGTGTGATTGGTTGGCTTGCTGAGAAAAAATAATTCACAGATTTCCTTGAATGGGAGTAGAAAAAATTTCAGAAAAAGAGTGCAATATAAAATCTATTATCAAATTATAACCAACTAATTTTTGGAGAATTTTATAAAGTTAAAAATACAAAAACATTTTGTCAAAATAGAAAAAAAAATTACCACCAAAGCATTGGAACAAA